GCCGAAAATCCTGAATTACGATTTTTGTGGTTTTTAGAGTCTCGGAACAGGGTTTTTTTCAACTTTGCTCGCGACAAGAGGAACATAACAAGATGCATTCGAACGAATTGTTTATTTGAGCTCACCAGATACAAATTTATACTCTATTGATGGTTTTGAAACATCATTTCTTCGTCAGTTCGTTTTCTTTTCGGCGGCTTGCTGAAATTTCAAACGAATGTTCCTTGAATCAACTAAATTTCCTCCACTAACAGTACAAGAATTGCTTCCGTCGGTGCCACACCCGAATTCAATCCGTCAGACATTCAGGAACTATTCCGAGCATGATCATCATCAAAATTTTCAACGATAAATTATCGCTGAAACTTTCAACTTTTCAACCAAAACGATATGTGATAAAATTATCCATATAACAACTCTCAAAACAATGAATTATTGCTAAATCTAAGTTAAACAACTTCAGAATGATGTTGAATAACGAATGATGAGTCAATCAGTATTACTTCAAAAAAATGAGAACAGTAGGGAAAGATATGAACTAATAAAAATGTAGCTGATAACTTACCGCCGCTACTTGTGGTGGTGCTCCAGGTTGAGGTGGAGGGGGTGGCGGTGCGTAAGCTCCTACATCAGGCAGATTTGATAGACGATATATTTCGAATATGACATAACCAACAATCAACAGTTGAAACATCGCTCGCGATACGCGAATGAACAATCTTTATCCAGAACAACCACTCGATAACCACAAACTAACGAACAATGACTGACCGATGCAGCGAATTTCTTCGAATCGATGCCACAACTCATTTCCTCAGCGACGCACTTAATGTATTATATCATAAGCAATAACACTATTGATTAGAACATAAAAATATTCATTGCCAAAATTAATTTGCAACGTATTCGATCAATGCAAAATAACCAGAGATCATTGTCAGAAACGCAGCAAAACACACTGATTATGAGGAACTCCTTATGAGGAACACCACGTTCTATGGATTTACCACAAGAAGACAGTCATCGCTAACATTTCACTACATGTGATTTGCATTACTTGCTTTATCGAATCATCATAATTTCATCACGGACAACACGGTACTCGCGAGATGCTCTATGATGGAATTGAGAAGAGATGGGTGGTGTAGGCGAAATAACAATTGTTGAGGATAGGGTGGATCGTATGGATTAGATTCAGTGCAGTTGTTTAAATATGGTATTTTCAAAGCTGTACAATTGATAGCAGTTCATGTATACACACTTCAGTTCATTACTGCTCGTGAAAGACAGCTGTCCCGATTCATCTGAGTGTTTCGAAGCTCCAATTCAGAAGAACATTAATCGATGAGTTTCATGATTATCTCCTACAATTAGCTGTCATGCACACATTTCTACGCGGATATTTCTAGAGCTTCAAAATCACGTATCGGACACCTCGATGACTAATATAATGGATGCTGGTAACAGTAGTTATCGTAACATTACTAATGTCCAAAACCATTCATTCGCATTCTGTCAGCTCGTACTCACCTGAATCTCATTTGAAATGAACTCTACACCATTAGCTACTAATGATTGACTGTTATGATTATTATTCTAATGAGCACTGCTTAACGTAGTAAAAAAGAAGCTTCACCACATAAAAACTTCGCAACATTATTGTCACTGATTCAAGCAAATTTTAATTGAATATTTCCGTTAGAAAAACGAATATTCGTGAAGTAATTTATTGCTGATACGCATTATATCAAAATGAAAATGAAAAGGTTCGCCTAATCGAATTTGTAATTGATTTTACATTCACTCGTTACGATAAGAAGAGTGAAGCAGTTGCTCTATTATT